GAGAGAGAGAGAGAGAGAGAGAGAGAGAGAGAGAGAGAGAGAGAGAGAGAGAGAAACGGTGCTCAAAGTACGAAGAAAAAAGTTCCGTGATTATTATAATACCATTCATTATCATTTAAATGAGCGCAGGCTTCGACAATCACAAACATTTAAATTTAATGCTCTTTTGCCGTCCACGTTTAAACAATTAATTAGCGGATCAGCTCAATGATTTCCCAACTTGAATGTGGCCATGTTTCAAAAATGAATGAACCATACAACCAAATATATCACATTTAGAATGGTGTTTCTATCCGATGGAGATTAGAATTTTTTTTGGTTTTGGTTACCGTATCGAATTAGAGATGACCTAGTTTGAATGTGGATATGTATTACGTACGTATCAATTGAAATGAATAGGTGTATTGAAAAATGAATATGCCAAAAATGATGTATGAGATCCAAGAAAAAAGTCTTAAAATCAAAGTTCACTTTACCCATTTTGAATTGTGTTCTACTTACTCCAACTATTGCCGTTGCGACCTAGGACTGTTTTCGTTTTGGGGTTGTACAAAAACTCCCGAAATGACTGCTTCGGTGGTATGAAATGAGCTGTGTTAAAATGTTCGAAAGCATCGATCGTTTCGTCACCTAGATTCACCATCTTGATCCTTTTTCTCTGTGAAAATTATCGTTTCTTTTTCTTTTCTTTTTTCAATCAAACGAATTCGGCATCAATGCACCACAAATGAATAATTTCCAAATCGGAGTATCAGTTAGATGAAGAAGAAGAGAAAAAATCACACACAAAATGTTATTTTGCCAAAAAACAAAACCAGATCGACAAAAAAAAACGACAATGCACGCACAAACACACCTTTGTATTTCAGCCCCAAAATAGCGGCTGTGGAACGAAAACGCGAAACGTTCGCACAATGCAAGATCACGAATTGGTCTGATAAAATGAGCGGTAATTGTTACTACATTCGGTGATATTCCGTTATGCTATCTGGTGATGGTGTGTGCGTGGTCTGCTTTCGTCATTCGTTTCCATTAATGCCTCCATTGCTTTTTTCCTCTGTGCCGCATTTCAGATAGGATTCAAATGTATGATAGAGAGAGAGAGTGATCAAATGGACCCGAATACAATGACAGATTTTTGCCACGAACAGCACGTGAACTTCACATACAATCAATCGAGCCTAATTTAAACCGCGTGCAATGAAGATTTCTTCAATCGAATTTAATTCCACTCAATGATAAAAGCGATTATAGAGTTGCCGTTTGGCATCAATCAAAAGGAACGAATGGTTCAGCAGAGGCAAAACGTTGATATGTTTTTGTGCATGCATACTCATTCAAATCGGTTGGATTGGCTTCGATTCATATTTTTTTCTTCTTTCAATGTGATCGTGCAAATTCCAAGAAAAGTCCATGTTGAATCCAGATTTTCGTACTTTTGTGCATGAAATGCACTCACGAAATTCAAGACCAACACACATGGGGAATGTTTTTCCTACACACCAGATCGCATCGTTTATCTGGATTTAGTGAGTTTCGGCGCTGATATTTATCATTTCAATACGCGGATTTCTTTTGCTTCTCTCTCTCTCTCACTCTCTCTCTCTTTCGGTAACATATTCGGCAGTATATACATTTCTTACAAAGTGACTTGTGTGTGACGATCGGCATGTCGCTGAGTGGAAGCATTGAGAGGAAGTGAGCAATGTAACTTCACTTATGCTATGTGAAATGATGACACTGACGACATTAATGGCTCGATCGTTAATCACAATAATCCCAATTCTATTTTTTTTCGTCTTCATTATTCACGTTGGAGATCCGGTAGCATTCAAGACGTTGCTGCGACGTGGTTAGCTGTGGATGTGGCTGTAAAGGATTGGTTTGGCACAGTTCAAGATTTGATCTGTAGCGCATTTTCAATAAGATGACCGAACTCGATATTGTCTTGTGCCACAGGTTTTGATGACGCTCGTGCCATACAGAATAGAATACGCACACATGCATATACATAGAGAGAGAAAGATAGAGACGGTGCAACATGTCATTCAACAGTGGCCTTCACTAATTGGATTACTGTAATTGCATCACAATCGCGCTCCGCTTAAAAAATTGAATCGCACATGCG